ACTAAATTAAATTGAAAGAGTACTCTTTCTATTTTAAAATAATTATTTTTTTATTTAAAATTTTTCTCAAATTAATTTGATTTTTTAAGATAAAAAAATATTTTTTACTTTACTTTTAACCTTATCATTATCTATTCACTTTAATAAATAATCTAATCACAAAAAATATTTTTTTTTATTTCTTTTTTAAAGGTATTATAAATAAATACAAATATTATTTTTAAATTCTTAATTTAAGAAAAATTCAAAAAACAATAGTTAATTATTTTAATTTAAAAGAAATTTATGATCGATTTGTTGCAAGTTTCTGTGAATCTTTTGCGTTCAGAAGCAAAAATCTAGAATACTCCAAGGTAGTGTTCCCGATTCCTTACTTTCCGTTTGGTTACCGAGAAAAAGAAAAGAAAGAATTTGAAACTCGACTCATACTTACATTTTTCTATTCTTGCAATGTCGCTTCCACGCCACATTTTTTCGCCAATTTTTATACTGTAACCGCGAGATTTTCTGTTGTAAATGCTTCATTGTGCCCTTAGCTGTTAGATTTAGAAGATTTGATGCGTCATATTGTACATTCAAGTGATTATTATGCTAAACAAAGAGATTTTTGTGCAGTTTTGTTTCTAACTTTCTCTAGATCTCTATACAATTACGGTTTAGAAGCTCGTGGCAGTAGGCATTGGATTGAAATCTAATGCGAGGAGATCTTTTTATGATGCAGGCAAAAGGCATATGGAAGCGTATCGCTCCTAGACAAGTTAGATTGTCTCTCTTACAGATCTGTGACTTGTGCTGCAGCAAATCCAAGTATGAACATCCTTGCTTGATTTTTGATTAACAATATTGATTTTCTTGATTATAATGCTCATCATTTTATTTAATATCATCATGTACCTTTCTTCTGCATTATTAAAATGACTCCATAACTATAAGAAAGTTGCTACCTAGAACAGATTGTGGTTCATTGTGAAGAAATGTCATTGCAGGTAAAAATTACAATATGGATCAAAACTAATATAAAGTTTGTTTAGGCAAACTACAAACGGTCTTGTTCACAGGCATCAAGCAAGGCTCCATTCAATGATGACAACTATAGTCGTTAAAATGGCAAAGAACTGATTTGAATACTTGTTTTCAACTTAATGGGTAATTAACATGATGAATTTTGGAACTAACCACTTGTGGGAGGTTTTCCATTTACCTTTACCCTGACATTTGGACATCACTAAATGTGAAAATGATATCCAACTAGGATCGGCTTTATGAGATTGCTTAGTCTGAATCTAATTCTTGTTTTTAATACCCATATTGTTGAATTTCTTGCAAGCAAGACATCTAGAAAGAAGGTCTAAAAAAATAAGACAAGAAAATGTCTCCGTAGTTATCAATATCAAATAAATAAGACAGAGGGTCCATGATAACATGTTGTGGTGGAAATGTCTACCTAGCAATTAATGGTTCCATATCGAACGGTTTCATGGATAACTCGATTTCTTTCTCTTCTTGACAAAACTAACTTGAATCTCTTTTCATTAATGACTTAAATAGTTTAATAATAAATTTTTTTTTTAAAAAAAAAACGTTGAGATTAACTTGCATAACATGCATAAGAAAAGAGTTAAAAAATAAGAGAGAATTATTTTTTATTTTGCAATCTAAAAAAAATCCCATCTCAAAAGCATAATTTTTGTTAATAAATCAAAAATAATTGATTCGTTTAAAAAATTAACCTACTATCAATATGCATACTAGTTAAGATTTAGTCTCTAAATCGATAAATCAAAGTAGCTACCCACTGTAATTATCTGTCAACTGTCAAGCAGATAGCTACGGGTTCAAGATGTGCTCATATTTTGGTCTGGTACAAGATAGGAGTAAGGGGACTTGAAGCTAAAACAATTAATTTTGAAGGTGATCTGAACCTAACTATATGAAAATGTGAACTAATATAAAAGACGATTACCCCCCACCCCTCTAATGAATCGTAGACACATTTTCAATAATGGACTGAAATTTGACAAATTAATTTCTGTTGATAATAATTTTGGTAATTGAATTTTTTTTTATTTTATCATCAGTCAACTTTTATACATTTATTTTTGTTGTTCAATTAAAGACAAGTAATTCATATTGAGATTAGAAAAATCATGACAAATCATTTTCTTATTAACCTCTTGAAAGAATAAAATCCTGATAAATGAAGTGAGCAAACTATTTATCAACTAGAATATCACTTTTTACATAATTTGGGAACCTAAATAATTGGATGCCCATAATTACATTACGATGATATTTCAAAAGGGTTTTTAGAGTTTATGCCTTTAAGGGTTTCATTTTGTTATAAATTTATATAAAAAAATATAATCATTGACATTAATTACAATATTATTGTTTAAAAATGAATTTAATTAGATAATTGACACATTAATGATTAATTTTAATTTTTTAAATATAAATTTATAATAAAAAATATATTTATTATATTTTAAACTTATATTTTAAAAGTATATGTTAAAAAAATCATCTTTCAAAATAGGCTTGAAATTAAATTAGCATCTGAAGAGAGATAATGAACAAAGGGTTTTCCTTTTGAGCAAACCCTTAAACCAGCCAAACTATCACTCAGTAATGTAATTTTGTTGGAACTTGAAATAATTGAATGCCCATAAATTCCATTCTGATGAGATTCCAAAATGAGCTAGAAAATTACAAAGCATCAGGAGAGGAGATGATGAAATTGCTGATCAAATGGGGGTTAGCCAGAGAGGGCTCTTGAGCCACTCACAATTAGCGGTGCACATGGTGAGGTCACTACACAGCCAGCCACATGGACCCACCACCAATTATCAGCCATTTTCGTGACGGTGCGCCCATTTTCTTCGACCGGCCGGATACGGATGGGGGTGTGGTTCAAACCAACAAAATGGGTCAATGGTCATGATGTATGCTTTACTTTGTCATAGTTCTATAGGGTTCAAGATGTTCAGTTGTGAACATGAATACAGCTTGCGTGCATTCTTCATATTAATTTAGTCCTTTTCTGAGTTAGAGAACAATTTTAGTTTGTTTATTCATACACTTATGTAACTTATTCATTGTGCCTGAGTTAATAGTTCATTTAACAAGATCCAAGATACATACAGTATATCATTGACAAATTTTTTCAAAAAGAGAGAGGGGGAGAGAGAATTTAATTCTTCCTCTTTGTATTTTTGTTGCAGATATATTAAATAATGATTATACAATAAACAACAAAAATTGATTTTTCTCATCTCAAACTGTTCATTACCTACTTTAAAATTTGAATTAAAAATTTTTAACATGAAAATTTTTAATTTTTAATTAGTAGAATGTATTTTAAGAGAATCATAA